TAACTTTTTTTCTGAACGGAATGAATATATGAAACATTAGATTTATTTAGATCTACATCTGTTGACAATCAGGCAGTGTAGGGAGAGCAATCAATTCTCCTTACCACCTATAAAGCCTGTCTTGATATTAAATATGTTGCATGGAACAATCCACTTGCTCTACAACCCCCACTGAAGTGTGTCCAGGGACATTTGATTTTTCATGTCATGTGAGATTTGCCACTAACCTCAAACTGTAAAAAATCATCTACATTTGTAGAAGGATAAAAACTGTAGAAATGACAACTACATGCCATCTTCTTCTGTACGTAAAAGCATTAAACCATGTGAAAATGAAGAAAAAAAGGTTCCATTTTATATACCTCATGTCATCTCAGTGCAACAAGCATCAGATAACGCCTGAAATCTGTCATAACGCCACCCTGAAGGAGGTGATAAATCTACGTCTCAATAACGAGTGATAAAAGGACCTTTTCCTTTTGTGAATTGCATTTCAAGCATATTTTATCACTCCAGTTGTTAAAATAACGTCTGAATAGTTAAAATAACATCTGGATAGTTAAAATAACATCTGAATAGTTAATTTAGCACTTCTTAAAAAAAGGAAGCGTTATTGAGTTTTGTGAATTGACTAACTCTAAACAGCAACTATATAACAAGCGATATCAATGAAATAACGGCCGAAATGAAGAAAATAAGCTTTGTGAATTGACCCCCTTGATTCACACCTTGATAACAAGTGATAAAAGGAATTACGTTATAAGCATATTTCAACATTCTGGTTGTTAAAATATTATTTGAGTAAGTAAAAAAAGACTGACTAGGTAAAATAACGTTTCACATTGTACTGCCATAAAAATAAAGGTCTAATTTTGAGTTTTGTGATTTGAAAAGCAACTACATAAATTGTGATATCGAAATGAAGAAAAAAAGCTTTGTGAATAGACGCTAATGTGTTGAAGCCAGAGACAGCCAGAAAACTGGTATCTCTAAAAGAAGGTGCAGTGCCAATAGGTTGCCATCTACTGGCAACCTATTGGCACTGCAGCAATGTAAATAAATATGTAACTAATTTTGTTTAGTCATATTTGTTACATTAGAATGATTCGATTTCTGTTTTATTTTGGCAAAAGTAGTTATTTGTTATGCTGAGTCGATTTGTAATTTCGGATGGTCGGTTGTTCGTTATTACATACAATTCATTTTTTTCCGGAAGACTGGCTATATATCAACTTTTAATAAAAGACCCAAACTATCACATCATGACATCTGAATGAAACTAATGAATCCGAATTAATTTGTTGTTTTCGTTTTAATTTCTTTGGATTCGTTGAAATTTGTTAGTATTGTTATTCGGAGATTCGGATACATCAGAATCTCCGAATAACGCAAATTCGTCCGAATTTCAATTTGTACCGAAAGAATTGCACATCTTTAGTTACTGTGCAGGTATTCAGGCAGCTGCGGGTGGCACAGCTGCTAAATACAATAGTCAGCAGTGGAGAATACTCCTTCTACACTCTTTAGCGTGGATGGGAGAATCTGTTAATTTTCTCTCGTTCATTCTGTGTATGGCTAACATGTTGTATACCTCTCTCAAACCCCTATTTTTCGTTTTTTTTTCTATATATATATATATATATTCAGAGGGGGAGAGGTGCAATTAGGGAGCTACTGTTGAGGCCGACTCAAAAGTTGATCATTTATCTACTGCTAGCAAGCATAAGATATATGCCCCATGATTTAACAAAAATTAAAAAGTATGCAAATACCTAATTACGTACCTGTTCCAGCGCCACTCACTCCTGGCTGAAGAATTCCCGGCTCCTGAATGGCTGTGAAGGAGGAAGTGTGCATGTACATGCGCAATAGAGTGGAAGGGTGAGAAAACACAATGGGGTCTATTCACAAAGCTGCCGAGGGCAGCCGAGTGAATGACCGATCAGAAGTGAAGTGAGCCGAACTTCGTTCGGCTATTCACTTCAGGCTGGTACGGCTGATTTCAGCCGTAACAGTGAATTGATGCAGCTGGGAACGCGCACGCCGGAGTTCGTGGGACACAAGAAGTCTGCGCTAGATCAGAGACCGACACCAGCACTGGAGGGAATGTCGGAAACGAGTGGAATGAGGAAGGTGATCGCATCAAGAGGCATAAAAAAGGTGAGTGCTTACAGCAGCATTGGGGTGGGGACTTTAATGTTAATGAAGGATTCTGCATTGGCAAAAAGAAGTTTTTCCATTAACACACTTTTCATACCTCTGCTTTATAGTGTATAGCCATATCATAACAACCTAAATGTCAATTATCAAATGGTGCTTCTTAATTGGCTAATTATTACTGAGGATTTGGTTTCAGCAGTGTTCTAACTTGAGGTTACTACTGGCAATATCTAGAAAAATTAACAATCTAGAAAGTTTAAATATGTGTAGCATACATATTTGTAGTGAGAGTAAGTATCTAGTACCTTCCTAACATGCCCTTTAATTTTGTTTCTGCTACAGTATATCCATCCTACTGCTGTCATGTGGCTCCATCTACTGGCGGTGTTGGGTCTGATCCTTCTGTACAGATGGTATAGGCAGAATCAGATACTGGAGAATCTCTTAGACAAATATGTCTTTATTACCGGATGTGACACTGGATTTGGTAACCTGTTGGCAAAACAGCTGGACAGCCATGGGATAAATGTTCTGGCTGCTTGTTTGACAGAGAAGGGGGCACAGATTCTGCAAAAAGAGGCATCCAGTAGACTTCAAACAGTAATACTGGACGTAACTGACAGTCAAAGTGTCAGTTCTGCTGCCAAGTGGGCTTCCACTCTTGTTAAAGAAAAAGGTGACTAATGCATTTTCAGCATTTATAATTTAATTGTGCATGTTTATTTCTAATTTACTTTATCATAAATGTGCATATATCTCTGGTTAGCAGCTAGGTTTATAGAAACACAATGGGAATATAAACTGAGAAGAAAAAGCTTAGGAGTAATGAAAAGTTTTAAATTCATGACATTTCTCTCTACATATTTTGTAAATATATTGAATGGAGTATAGGCATTTTTAGTTATTCAGAATCAAAAATTTTTAATTCAGAAGTGAAAATGTTTCTCTCTGGAGACTAATCGTTCAGCCCTTGGGTTGAAACGCATTGACCACAACAAGGTGGCATTCGCTACACAACCCAGGACAGGTTCATTCAGTCCACCTATATATAAATGTGTAAAAAATAAGTCAAGGCAACTGGACTTACTCTATTTTTCTAGAAGACGCTTCACTGGACATCCGACCAGCTTTCTCAATTCAGAATGACTTGTACAAAAAATTATCTGGTAATAAATATTGTGAATGTCGCTCCAATCCACATAATCTGTTAGTCACAACCCGGTGTTGATTGCATTTGAATAATTGGAGTCTAGGAGTTGTTATTAACCTGCCCAGAGAGAGGTGTTAAAACAGCATTGTGGCAGACAATAGGTGAAAGAAAGCTATAGATCTACTACCACAGCCATTGATCGGGCTATGTATCATCACCTCTACCCTGGTGAAGTCCCTCCGTGTATATATGGACTTCAAGAAAAATACAGCAAGTCCAGTTGCCTTGACTTATTTTTTACAGATATACCATGACCTGGATGAATGAGAAACTTCACAGACACCTACAGGTGAAACTCGAAAAATTAGAATATCGTGCAAAAGTTCATTTATTTCACTAATGCAACTTAAAAGGTGAAACTAATATATGAGATAGACTCATTACATACAAAGCAAGATAATTCAAGCTGTGATTTGTCATAATTGTGATGATTATGGCTTACAGCTCATGAAAACCCAGATCCACAATCTCAGAAAATTTTTGGCAGTGTGGGCAGGTGCCAAGTCCTGCTGGAAAATGAAGTCAGCATCCCCATTGAGCTCATCTGCGGAAGAAAGCATGAAGTGCTCCAAAATCTCCTGGTAGACGGCTAAGTTGCATTAGTGAAATAAATGAACTTTTGCACGATATTCTAATTTTTCGAGTTTCACCTGTATATATAAAGGTTTTAGCTTCTGCATAATATTTTAAGTGGCTCTTCTTGTTTGAAAAAAAACAAGAATTCTAAAAAAGCTGCCTATGGAACCCTGTAGTGCCGCAATGTACATCAGATAGAAGCACCATGTGCAAAGAGGGATGCTGGAATCCAAAAACCCCTAAAGTGTATCAGATGTGAAATATATGCTAAAGGCCGTAGCTCTTGAAGAAAGCAAAGTGGGGACCCATTTTGACCAATGGAGAAGTAAGCATTAAGAGTCTTCTTTTGCAGGTTGATTCGCTTAGATTTGTTCTCAAAATTTGATGTTATGAGGCAAAACTCATAAGTCTAAATCTATTAATTAGCCAATGCAATTAAACACTGTAAATGTTTAATGGGTGTGTTCAATAAAGACACAAGATATTAGAATTGTTTGTGTGTTGTCAGCTTAAGCACATTGAGGGAGATTTATCAAAACTGTAGCAGACAAAATCTGGAGCAGCTGTGCATGGCAACCAATCAGCTTCTCTCTTTCATTTTCAAATCTTAATTAAACAGACTGGAGGTAGAAGCTGATTGGTTGCCATGGGCAACTGCTCCAGATTCTAACTGCTCCAGTTTTAATTCCCCTCACTGTGTTTGTCTACTGTTGTGACTTACTGTAGATGAGAATCAGATCACATTTTATGGCAAATTACACATACTTTTTCTTGCCACTGTATGTATACAGTTCATGGTAAAATAGTTTATGATATGCTTACAATAGGATGCCTTTTCAACTATTTATTCTTCTTTCCATATGTGCTATGATAGGTATGTAAACAGGTTTAATGACCACGAAGATCACTGGGGCTCAAATGGTTGCCCTTCCTCATCAGCTCTCCTGACAATAGCAGAAAAAAGTAATGTTTTAAAAATTATTTTTCTCACATCAAACACACAGCAAACACAACTTTATGCATGGATGCACAAGAAAATGTAACCTTACCATGCAACAACACCACACTGTAGGTATTGCTTAATTGATAATAGAACACTTTCCTATTTTCTTTTTTAAAGGAGAACTGTGACAATGAGACTGTCACAGGTCGGCTCAGTAGATCAGGAGGTGAGAGAACACATACCGGCGTTCACTCATCTCTCGATCCTGTCACGGCTCTCTGCCGTGACAGGGGAGGGGCTGGATTTCCCCTCTCCCCGCTCCGATCTGCCAGCGCATTATGGCGAAAATCCTTAACCCCATAGTTCTTCTTTAAAGTGACCCTGTAGTTAAAATTAAACTTAGCAGAACTTTGTGGCTGCAAAAAAAACAGTGTGAAGCAGTTAGAAGGTCAGATTTTCATAGTGTATACTGGGCAGATTCCCTCAAGGAAGTACGGTAATAGATTTCTAAAATACTGTAGGTAGAGGGAAAAAAATATTAAAATAATAACACACAAAGCAGAAAGCAATGGCAGATGTTGAATGCCTATGAAGTTTTTGTAAGACGTAATATTTACAGTACATGCTCTCTCAATAAAATGATTACCGTTGTATAAAGCAACTCACACAGGGCTTGGCGAACAAATTGCCTGGGAGCTAAGTGGCGTAAAAAATTTGGATTTGAACTGTTTGGGATATATACCTGTCGGTCCAGTTAACTCCAAATTCTACTCTATTTGACAGTCAATGTAACAGTTTTTTTTGTCATGGAAGCCATGTATGCCAGTGATATCTCTATAAACACAGTTATCATCAAGTTCCTTATTGTTAAGTATCCAGAAAGCTTCACCTTCCTTCTTCCTTTAGGGTTCCCAAAATTATTAAAATGTTGCCCTTCATTGCACTTCTCAAGTTTCAGCACTTCCTTCCTTGGTGACCAAAACTGAACCACATGCTCAAGCAGGGGGCGGACTGACAACACATGGGGCCCCCGGGCAATACAATATTATGGGGCCCCTTTGTGCTCCACCCATATACAAGCCCGATCCACAAGCCCCATCCACAGCCAAAGGGCTGCTGTACGGGCTATTCACAATAGCCCGTACAGCAGCCGAAGGCAGTTGAGCAGCTCGGACGAGCCGAACCCATAGGCTTCAGCTTGGCTGAGTCGTATTCAAAGCCGAAGCAGAGAGAAAGGTCAGCCAAAGCAGACCGATCTCCACGCAAATGACAGCTGGGCGGAGTCAGCCGTGAACTCATGGCTGGCTCCGCCCAGTTGTAATGACAGATCAGCGTCCCCAAATGACCAGGGGAAGCATGATGTGTCATTAAATAATAACAACTGGGCGGAGCTGGCCGTGACGTCACAGCCAGCTCCACCCAGTTGTTATTTATTGTCCGGGACCTACGAGAAGACTTAAGCAGGTGCCGGCCAACAGGAAACAGGATGTGCGTCGGTTTTTTTTTTCTTTCAAATATTTTTAATTTCCTATTTTTTTACATTTTTGAACAATTTTTCTACATTTTTTTTTCTCATTCATTTAACTTTTTTTCTATTCTGCTCGCTACCACAGAGGTACTGAGCAGAATAGCCAACCAGAATGTCGCTCGCGGCATTTGGCTATTTACTTATTGCCATTCGGCACCTATGAGAATAGGGGTGAACGGCAGAGAGTGAGCTGCCGGAGCTTTGACTCGGCCAATCCATATGTTGGATCGGCTAAGTCGAACTCCTTCTGCACTTCGGCCAATGTACGGCTGATTTTAGCTGAAATCAGCCCTACAAGGCTGAAGTGAATAGCCGAACAGCGTTCAGCTCACTTCACTTCGGCTTCGTTATTCAGTCGGTGCATAAACCCCATAGCGTTGTGCACGGGATGCAAACCCTATATGTGAAACAACTGCATGGATTCCACTCGTTTGCAGCTATTATATAGTCGCGAACGTACAGAATCCGCTGGATTATCGTGCTTGCACTATTTTGGGGGCCGTGCGGTTTCATACCGCATGGTTCCGCAATAGTCTGGACAAAGCACATAAAAGTACATTGTTTTTTTATGTTTAGAGCGGCTCTGCTCGTATTTGGACAGCCGCTCTAGTGTGAATGGAGCTTTAAACCGAGCGACCCCCAAAATACTGCAATCGCGATAATCCGTCAGATTCCGCACGTTTGCGGCTATACAATGGCCGCAAGCGAGCAGAATCCGTGCAGTTCACATATAGCATTTGCATCCCGTGCGGGCTCCCACATGAAAAACCGCACGGGAAACGCAAACGCTGTATGTGAATAGAGACTAAAAGGTTAAAAATCTTCCCATTTACAGTTCAAAAAAAAAAAAGTTATTAAATTCACTTGCCAGCATCAGGGCTCCCGATCACCAGGTTCCAGCAGTCCGGATTTTTGTAGAACTCCTCCAGTGGGGGGCCCAGGGCCGGATCTCAGTGGGGCCCCCGCATGCATGAGGCTTTCGTGCCTCCGTCCCTCCATCCGCCCTTCGCGGTAGGTCCGCCCCCAACCCACACGCCCCCACCTCGGAGCTCTTCTCGGCCGCTGTAGGAGGTGCGGCTCTGTTAAAGCGGCAACGGCAGTGTATAGTGGGCCCAGGAGGCGGGCGACACTGCCGTCGCCATTTTAACAAACCCGCGCCCTCCTCCATGCGGGCTGAAAAGGGCATGGGGGTTCGGTGACAGGCCCCCTCTTTGGCCGCGGGCCCTCGGGAATGCCCGACTGCCCGTATGGTCAGTCCGCCCCTGTGCTCAAGTACATCTCTGCTATACATGCACATTTCCCCATGTTTTGTTTCTTTAAAAATGCTGCAAAGCCAGACTAATATCTGTTGATCTGCTAATAATCCAGTGAGCTCGTAACAGTGAGCTGACAAAGCTGCTCTTGCTGCTCCCAAATAGCATTGCCAGCCAAAGAACTGTTACCAGCCAATACTCTGTTTAAATCTTCTCAATAGCTAGATGTAGTGGGGGCTATGGCCATTACACATGCTTTAACATATGCCAACCTATAACTTCGTGGTGAAAGAGAATATTAACCTTTACCTAGTGGTGGAAGAGAATATTTTTTGTCCTCACTCAGAATCTGTGCCCTATCTTCCAACAAAGGAATAGATGACATTTTGGATTTTTTTGGGCCAGTTAGTGTGCCACTATTAAATGGCAGTATTGCTTTTGTTGAGTAATATTAAAACCGGACGATAAATATTGATACTTGGGCTGTTCACTTTTTTGTAGTGTAATACTCAAAGGAGAACTATGGGGTTAAGGCTTTTACCCGTAGTTCTCCTTAGGGTAACGGGAGGACACAAATTAGCGTCCTCCCGTCACCCTAAGCTATTACACATACCTATGCCAATCCACTTCGACCCTTTAAGAAAGATGAAGGTAGCAAGATAACCACTTACCTGTGTAGAAAACCCATCAGTACCATCTTTAATTTTAATAGCAGCGTTACATGTAGCACTTGTATAAGCATACATTTAAAGGAGTAAAATGATATGCATAATGCTCTCATCACTTGACATTGTTGTTCATTTTGCAGGTCTCTGGGGCCTAGTGAACAATGCGGGCATTGGTATTCCCGGAGGCACCAACGAATGGCTTACCAAAGATGATTTTATGAAGGTTATAAATGTAAATTTACTGGGTACCGTGGATGTTATACTTCATTTCTTGCCCTTGATCCGAAAAGCAAGAGGGCGAATCGTCAATGTAAGCAGTGTGGCTGGTAGAATAAATATCACTGGTGGAGGATATTGCATATCCAAATATGGAATAGAATCATTTTCAGACAGTCTTCGGTGAGGCATTATACTTTTTTTAAATATTGTAAATCTATTTTATGTAAGTAGAATAACAAACTCTTTCATTTTTTTTCTCAAAATAACCCTTGCTTCCCCTACTTATGTCAGGAATAAAGTCAATGTTGCAAGTGTACAGCTTGTAGTTATGTCCATTATTGTTTTAAAGAAAATTGTTTTCCAATAACCCGTGACCCCTTTCACCCATGTTAAAATGCCTAAATATAATATAAAAATATAATAATTAATCATGAAGCAGTTTTTACAGCCTCTTATAATGCAGTACCTTGTTAAAGATGATCTTTTCTTAAAAATGACGACAAATGCACCTTCAGAAATGTTTAGAGTGTATTTAGCTGCAGCAAAAGAGTAGCCAGTTAAATCTAGAGATGCACGTTACTCGCCTTTTGTAAGTGGACCAAAGCAACAGATTTACTTTAATGCCCCCCTCCTTAGCTGCACATACTCACCATTTCCTACCCTGATGTGATAGTGCTGGTCCAACCATCAAGCACCAGCACTGTTACATGAAATAAATGCAAGTGTCTACTTACTGTATGTTTTCATGGCTCCTTTATATTGGCTTTATCCCACTTGAATGAATTTGAAGTAAGATCATGTGTTTTGTATAATGTGAAGGCAGAGCTATCTAATTTACAGACATGATGATTAGATGATAAATATTGTTAACGTACTTATGTGTACAGCCATAGATCTACAAAAAGGGTGTATTTGCTTTCTCAATGTATTCTGATTTTTTTTTTTTTACTTTACTTGCACCATTGCTAACAACAAGTGAAGGATTTGTTAAAAAAAAATAAAAATGAATATGTCCATTCTGCTGATCCTGTGCTGGGCACTACTGGGGTTATTTTACTGGGGTCTCCCTTGCTATCTATAGCTTTCCCACTTAAGGAAGCCTTTTCCAAATCCGTTCCCAGTCTTCTGCAACTAGGCATGTAGAAGTGCAGGGAAATTATCCTGTTAGTATTTGCAAAAGGACTTTTGCACAGCCCAAACATGAGATGCATAAGCAGAGACATGATGTTTGTGTTACAATTCACCCAGTGTTGTGGTAGAATGCTATTATTGTAGTTGTATCTTTTAGGAGAGAAATGTATCGGTTTGGAGTGAAAGTGTGCATTATCGAACCCGGATTTTTCAGTACACAAATAACCAGTACAGATTTACATAAAGAAAATATAAAAAGATGTTGGGAGAAGTCCTCTGAGGAAATCCGAGAAGCCTATGGAGAAGAGTATTTTAGAAAAAGTGGGTAAAACGACACTATAATAAACTCCTTGAAAAAGATCTTCAATCAGAAAGCCATGATCTCTTTTAGAAATATATAAGTAGAAATGGGGTGAAAGTGGCTTACAATAATAAGAATCATATTTCAGTAAAAGAGAAATTAATTGTAAATATGGACTCAAATGGAGAAAGTAGTAAGTCTTTATCCAGAAGAGCAAACAAATCAACCTCAAACAATATTATGCAAAACCTGCAAAGCGTATTCAAACAAATATTCAAACATACTTTAAATGCAAAACCCCAGGCAGATAGAAAAGACACACATTAAGCAGCTCTGTATTCATTATAACTGCATTAAATGTGTTCTTTCAAACGCCAGCTGTGTAAGTACCTGAAATTGACTTGGTATCTGCCTCTTGCAGACCCTGTTTAGCAGTGGAGGCAGAAGCAGTAGTGCTCATGCTGGACATGCTGATAGGAGAAGAGAGCAGGGTAGAGACAAACTCATCTGCCTGAGCTTCCCTTATGATAATTGGAAGGACTTTACGAAGAAAAAAACGTTTTAACTCGTTGGAAAATCTGTGTGACCGGTTGCCAATTCTTCCCTTTCATATAGAGTAAAAGAAAATACAGTTGGGCAAAAAAGTATTTAGTCAGCCACCAATTGTGCAAGTTCTCCCACTTAAAAAGATGAGAGAGGCCTGTAATTGGCATCATAGGTAGACCTCAACTATGAGAGACAAAATGAGAAAACAAATCCAGACAAATCACATTGGCTGATTTGGAACAAATTTATTTGCAAATTATGGTGGAACATAAGTATTTGGTCACCTACAAACAAGCAAGAGTTCTGGCTCTCACAGACCTGTACCTTCTTCTTTAAGAGGCTCCTCTGTCCTGCACTCATTACCTGTATCAATGGCACCTGTTTGAACTTGTTATCAGTATAAAAGACACCTGTCCACAACCTCAAACAGTCACACTCCAAACTCCACTATGGTGAAGACCAAAGAGCTGTCGAAGGACACCAGAAACAAAATTGTAGACCTGCACCAGGCGGGGAAGACTGAATCTGCAATAGGCAAGCAGCTTGGTGTGAACAAATCAACTGTAGGAGCAATAATTAGAAAATGGAAGACATACAAGACCACTGATAATCTACCTCGATCTGGTCAAGGCAAAGGGGAAAAATGGATAAGTGCGCTTTGCCTTAAAGTGCAAATATCCTTAAGTGTGAGACCACAAGTTGCTCTATCTGGTTTATACTGTATATCATTATTTGAACATAATATCTGCAATGATCATTTATGATTAGCAACCGTATATATTTGTATTGTCCTATGACATAAATATAATTTGTACATTTAATATTTTAGTTTGCAGCTCTTCTGATAACGTTGGAGCACTCTGCACCACAAAGCTATCTCATGTTACAAATTGCATCGAGCACGCACTGATTGCAGTGCACCCATGGGCACGTTACTCTGCAGGCTGGGGTGCCAAATTCATACTAGTGCCTCTCTCTTACCTTCCCACAGCAGTTTTGGATTTTCTACTTATCATGGGGCAGCCTAAACCTGCCCAGGGAATCTGACACCTAACAGGGGCCAACAAAAAACATAGACATTGTACTTTTGGACTGCCAGTATATTTCACACTGAAGTACCAAGAACTGGGCAATATACAGAATCATGGACTTCCAAAATATTGTACTACTAAGCCTTTGCAGTATGTTTTACAAAATCACCCCAGTACTGCCAATATATTTCATATGATTAATGATTGGATCTACATCAAATCCTTCTGAGACTTTCACTAAACAGCAGCCTAACTGGACTAATTACCAATGGACTGTTTCTATTAAACATTAATTTTGCAATGTGTTTGTATGTCCTTGGTTGTCCTTACTGGACTTTGCTTTGTTTCTGTTTTGTAATCAAAAATTACACTGCCTTTCAGCAAAGAAACATTGGCAAAAAGTGTTAAATGTGAGAAAATGCAAATGAGTGTAATTGCTGGGCCTGAAAAGGGTGCAGCTGTGACATGGCTAATACTTTCACAGTATATGGAGAGCCACAACCCATCTAACTCAACTTGAATATATTATATATATACATTTTATGAGCATATAATTACTGTGTGATGTTGAGTCTGAAATAGCTTCAAGTAATCTGGGTTAATTGGGGGGGAGGGGGACAAGGCAGATAAAAATTTTTTTACAATTTACCATTCCTCCCCGTTTCCCGGGGACAGTCCCCATTTTGAGGTGTGTTCCTGGCACCTATGAATGCAGTTCAAGGAAAGAAGGTAATCCACTCCTTCATTGCCTTTTTTCTCTGCAGCTCCATTGGGGAAGATGGTAATGGTAATGTGTACATTTTACTGTGAGTGGCCGCAATGTAGAAGTATCAAGTGCTAAGCATTACATCCTGATCCTCTCTGAGAGAAGAAAACTGCTGATGATTTTCCTAAATACAGTATGGTAATATAGGATGTTCAACCTTTGTCATGGAAGACGTCATGTGATCATACCCAAATTCATATATTTCAGTGTTTTCCTGCAGTCTATGCGCACACTAGATCATTTCATAGGCATTTGTACATACAAAGTAGATTTATATCATTTTGGTTATTGAAGGATATATTTAAATGAAACAAAGTTACACACACCTGCTCCTTGGAGCCAACTTGCTCTAAAGGTCCCCACACACCTTACGATAATCGTACGATAATCGCGGGAAATCCCGCGATCGTACGATTATCGTAAGGTGTGTGGAAGCCGTGCGACCTCTACTACTGTAAGGTCGCACGACTTTTAACTTACGGACATGTTCGAAAACCCGCCGAGCATCGTACGATAAAAGCCGTACGGGCCGGTGTGCGCAAGCACACACTGCCCGTTTGGCATTGCGGTCATCGGAAGCCCACCCCTCAGGCAAAAGTCCTATGATGGTTGTAAGGTGTGTGCCCAGCCTTAGACTGGTTCCTTGAGCCTCTCTGGAGGGTCATCATGTCTTATATACTGTTATAGAAAGTGAGCACCAAATGACATACCATAGCTGCAGTCAAGGAGGAGACAGGCTAGAGGGAGAGCTGTCACAGGCAGCCAGTTCCAAGGATGGGGTGAGTATAACCTTGTTATTTTCCTCCCTAGACCAAAACGAGCACTTAACCCTTGCATTTTGAGCAGCCCCACTGCAAGGGTTAATATTAATTTTCCCTGGCGTTCTGTTTAAAGATGCTTTGCTTTTGTTCATAAGTCCACTTATTTCTGCTTTGCAGAAAAAGAACAAAATTACACCGCAATGTAAACAATGATATTTCAATTTAAGTTGGGTCAGCTAATATTAACCCCTTCATGACTGAGCTAGTTTTCAGGTTCTGTTCATAAATGACTGACACATTTTTTACGAAGGGGTTAAGAAGCCCTAAGCTGGCCATACACCGTTATATTTTTATGAAAAATATAACAGACACCTCCATATCAGCTAAACTTCTCCCATTGTAATCTGACAGGGCCCAGCGTGCACGAACGGTGATAGCAGCTGATTGACTGCTGTCACTGTTCACCCAAAAAATTTACATCTGACTCCTTCGATTTTCTGACCGAGAATGCCAGACAGAAGGATGGCAACAGGGGACTCATGTGTGAACTTCAGCTGGTTCATCAAGAACCGTGTGAAATTCGCACAGGGTATGACCAGCTTTACAGTACCACAGTACCATACCTTCTGATGAGAAAGAGGAACACCTTTTATCACAAAGTGTATAGCCAAAGAACACACTCCTGACACACTCCCTGTTAACAGGACAACAAAGAATTCATATGCAAAATAGGGATGTATCCAACTAATTGATAATAATCGATAAGTTAGTGTGGTTTCCTTAGTTCTCTCCTCCGTGGTTGGAGCTGGTGGTGCTGGTGCCTCCCAGCAGGGAGGAGAGACTGACTGTCAGTCAATGCCACTGTGACTCTACATTGGGTGCAATAGTCAGCCAACTATTGGCTATTTCAAATTGCAATAGCCAATAGCAGATTGGCTATTGCACATGCCACTGCTTGCTGTCAATCAACAGAGTAGCAGACCTGAAGGAGAACTCTCTCCTTCAGGTCCCTCCTCTGCTGATTGACAGCAGGTAGTGGGTGCAATAGCCAGCCTGCTATCAGCTATTACAATTAGAAATAGCCAATAGCAGGCTGGCTAATGCACCTGCCCACTGCCTGCTGTGTTTACATTTAGCTGCCGACTGCGGAATCTTTACGCCGGCAGCTGTTATTCTCCGTCTGAAGCTATTCAAGCGCGAGTGTGCTTGAATGGCTTCTTTGAAGTGGAAAGGGACAAGAAGAACAGGCAAGCAAAAGTGGAAGTGGGAATGTAACACTACAGGTCTCATAGATCCCTAATGTCACCTTAAAGAGGACCTGTCACATCCAATGTGTTTTCACATAGGAGGCTTATTGTTGCAAATGCAACAGCATATATTATGTCTTTTGAGCAGTACATGGCGCTGTAGTACAAGTCTAGTCTATGCTACATTTTCTATTTGCATGTTTTATCTATGATCTATATGTTTCCTTTCTGCTATGCTGTATTCCTGTATACATACATGTAATGTCCTGCTAAGCAAGTAAAACTTAATTCAGCATTCCTCAAGATCTCAGTGCTTCATCTAAACACATAACCAACAGGTTATGAGCCCAGACACTGAACAGAATTCTGCAAGTCAACAGGAGCCACATCTAAGCTATTGAAAAAGTAGTTCAGATATGAAGTTTGCAATCGCAAAGCTCAACAATAGCAACTACCAGCTATGGAAGTTCAAGCTTGAAATGCTGCTAAGCAAAGACGACTTGTAGCAAGTACTGAGTACAGACAGACCCACTAATGGACCCGCAGAAGAATGGGACAAGAAGAAAAGGCAAGCAAAAGCAATTATAAGTCTGCTAGTGGGAGACGACCAGCTTATCCACATAAGAAAAGAAACTACAGATAAAGGTATGTGGACTGCATTACAAAAACTGCATGAGCGTTCAAACCTAAACAGTAGACTATATTTGCTACGCAAGCTATATAAGGTGAGGCTAGAAAAAGGCCAGGACATAAGTAAACATGTGAATACCATGATGGAAATTATAGAACAACTATGTGCTATTGGAGAGGAAATTAAAGATAACCACGTGGTGGCATTAATGCTATGCAGTCTTCCAGAGTCATACAGTGTTCTTATTAACGCTTTAGAAACCAGACCTGAGCAGGAACTAACACTAGAATGCACTAAAGGAAAATTAATTGATAAATATGACAGAAGGAAAGAAAATATGCACAATTAAAAAAACGAAAAAGCCCTTAACCTCCCTGGCGGTATGATTATTCAGGATTTTAGGTACCAAAAGCGGTACATTGTTTTTCAAGCAAATATGTTGTTTTTACATTGTAGGCCTATCTGTGTACATTACAACTTTTCACTTTTGAATTTCCCACCAGGGAGGTTAAGGTGCATGAGAGTTCAAAGCAAAACAAAGATAGCAGAGCATGTTTTCACTGTAAAAAGACTGGTCACCTGAAAAATGACTGTTCGATCTGGAAAGCCGAGCAGAGAAGATGAGAGAAACTTACAAGAGAAAGAGTTAAGGCAGTCAGGGCCGGATTTACTCTCCCTACCGCCCCAAGGCCAGGTTCCGCAATACATTCCCCCCGCCAACCTCCCCTTCCCATCAATGGAGAATGGCAATCAGATGGCAGGGCGGCAGGGTTAGTTTCAATCTTTTTTTACTGTTTCTTTAAACTTTTTTTATCACTTTTTTATTTTTTTATTTGTTTAGTTCTTATTTTTTTTGTTTCTTATTATTTTTTACTTTTTAATCACCTTTTTATTTTATTTTGTATTAGTTATTAAATTATTATTATTATTTTTTTTTTCCACCTAACTTTATTGCTATCACACTGGAGAAAAACAATACCCTGTGTGACAGCAATTGGAGGTTAGAGGTTCTCTTTATTGACCCTGTCACCTCCAATACAGGATTTCTAGCACAGCACTGTGCTGGAACTCCTGTGACAGGTGAGAGAGGAAGAGCACAGCTCTCCCCTCTCACTGTCTACACGGAGCGGCAGGGTTAGGCAGAGTGCGGAGGACGGAACCCGAGGAGTGAGGTAAGTGCAGGGGGGAGGTGGGGAGGCTGCAGACTTTTAACATGTGATCTCGGCGACATCGCCGAGATCACATGTACACAAACAATCAGCCAGGGCCGGCCTTAGGGGTGTGCGAGCAGTGCGGCCGCACAGGGCGCCATGATCGGCTTCCCTCACTCTACATTTAGTCCTGCTTGTGCTAAGCAGAACTAAATGTAGAGAGGGCAACTTACCGCCCGGCGCCCGCAACTTCCCCACAAGGACACCGCTGTCGCCCCTCTACGCCCTGCCGCCCCGAGGCAGGGCCTTGGTGGCCTTGTGGGGAATCCAGGCCTGAAGGCAGTCACAAAGAAAACTGCGGGCACATCATGGAGTGCTACCTTTAAAGTAACTCAGAATAGTATACCACGCAGATGGTGTATTGACTCGGGCGCAACAAGTCACAGGACTAGTGATGAGACCTTCTTCACAAAAATTGATTTCAGTGCAAAGGGCAATGTTTCACTAGCAAACGGGAAAAGTATCACTGCATATAGTAAAGGTCAAGGATTCTTGAACTGCGTCACACTGTCAGGGGACAAGCAGAGTATCCTCGTAAAAAAAATTACTGTATGTCCCAGACCTAGAAAGAAACCTTCTATCAGTGAAAACCCTTGCTAGTAACGGTCTCACAGTTCAATTCAGAGGTGATAAATGTACAATCCAAAACAATAAGCAAATCCTTGCAAAAAGAAAATTAGATGAACATCTGTACAGACTCATCACCGTAGACAAACAAGTCAAGACAGTCACTCATAATCCAACCAACAAATGTATCTATCTACGGCACCGAAACCCGGAAGCCACAAAATACATTATAAAGAGAGGCTTATCAGAAGATATAAGCGTACTGCCCTGCTGAATGCTCATGAAATGCAAATGCTGAATAGAAGCAAAGGTCACACGTACCGCACTTCCACAGACAACTCAAAGAAAGACCACCCACCCCATGGAGCTCATACATAGCAATGTGCGCGGACCAATGAAAACTCCCACATCATGTGGGAACAGTTATCTACTGACTTTTATTGATAATTAATCCAGGTACACAACAACTTATCTGATGAAGCACAATTAACGACAACAGAGGGGAATACATCATTAAGGCAGTTGAATCCTACCAGAAGAAACAGTGTATAGTACACCAGACAACCATACCATACACTACTAAACAAAATGGTATAGCAGAACGGAAAAATCACATCGATATAATATAAATATATATATAGAAATGGCCAGATGCATGCTGTCAGACGCCAACCTACCTAAGAAGTACTGGGGAGAAGCAGTCATGACTGCAACATACCTACAGAACAGACTACCATCAAAAGCCGTTGAAAGCACCCCATTTTAATTTGTGGCATGGATCGAAGCCCAGCCTAGGGCACATTAGAGTGTTTGGATGTAAAGGTTATGCCTATATTCTAAAGGAGAAACAATCCAAATTGGAGAACACAGCCATTGAAGGTATTCTGGTGGGCTACAGTGCACAAAGTAAGGGATATAGAATTCTCCACCCAGAGACTGACAGTGACAATAAGTCACAGCGCTTATTCAGATGAGAACCCATCACCAGAAACAATGATCCCGGGAAGTTGTAAAGTGAATTTGCCCAGTGAACCAGCAAAGGAAGCTGAGCAAACACGCACATACTAATAGAAACACAAGTGGTGCCTACATACGAAAATGACTATTGTGCTATACATGTTAGGTATCGCTGTGCGCTCCAGAATGAGATCAATAATTCCCTGGCTAATATTCATGGCTAACTCTAAACTAATGACTGGACTTTAATATTTTGATATATATAACAAATACAAGTTTGTTTATTTTATTATATTGCCTCGGAGTTTTTCAATTCAGATTATTTTAAATCTATGAAACTAATTAAAATGTCAAATATAATACACACAATTATTTTAACAAAAATTAGAAAGGAGGGGGGAAAAAAAGTAATTTTCGGTTTTGGCCTGACAAATCCTGCTGCGGCACATATATTGGGGTGCCATTCATTTCAATGGCACCCCAAACGCGCCTCCCACCCGCAGTGCGAACATGTGGTACTGCAATGCCGCGTGTTCCAGTGTGGTGTGATTGCAAATAAGTCCATCAGTGTAGTTTATTTTAAATAAAAGATGGTATTTCATTATATTTTATTCGATTAATCAAAACAATAATCGGACCACTAATCGATTATGGAAATAATCATTAGTTGCAGCCCTACTGCAAAAGATAATTTGTTAAACCCACATGTATTTTGCTTTGTAATGGTATTTCAAACTATAATCGCAGGTGATCCCGCGATCGTATGATAATCGGCAGGTGTATAGGCAGCGTGCGGCCGCTTCTACTGTACAGTCGCACGACTTTCGTCTTCCTAGCACGCTAGAAAACCGGCCGAAAATCGACGATTTTTGGCGGGTTAGTAGCGTGCTCGGAAGACGAAAGCTGCACGGGCCGGTGTGCGCAAGCGCACACTGTCCACTCAGCATTGCAATCATCGGCAAGCCCTCCCCTCGCACAACGAAAGTCGTGTGATGGTTGTAAGGTGTAAGGCCAGCTTTACACAGGCAATCATTAAACAGGGTTATTCACTAAAGGGTGAAGAGTTTGGAGAAGACAGGAGAAGTGAACAATCTAGGACAACATAGTTGATTTGGAAAAACTCTCCAATTCAGCTTACTTTCCAGTTCAGCTATGTTGTCCTAGATTGTTCACTTCTCCTGCCTTCTTCAAACTCTTCATCCTAGTGAATAACCCCGTTTAGAGGTTGGATCAAAGCTTTAGTGTAGTATAGCACTTTCAATAATTAAATATATTTTCTGAATGTATGCCATAAAATTAACCAGTACAAGTTCAGTCTAGTACAACCTCCAAAATCCTGTCAAATGTAACAACAGCTGCCTGCACATGCCTGACAAAAAGCCAAGAGCAATCACCGCAAACTTGGCACATGAGTTTGGGTTCCACCTTCCCTTTACTGGGATTTCACACACCTCTCTGGAACAGTGATACCAGCAGCCAGTGAAACCTTCTAACTCCAAGGAAAACACTATAAACAGGTACGTGGCTATCGCACTACGCTGCATAGGGTAGGTGCAGTATAACGTTTTCGTCTAGCTTATTTTTTACATTGCACAGTATACGGCGCCATACAGGTCATTTTATTTCACATGCTTTCCAGACATTTGCATTGTCATAAAGAAAATGGAAATAATTTTTTAAGTGCCTCCACTTCAGTTATTCACAGGAACATGACTACTTTTAATATACAAAATCAGAAAATCTTATGGTTTTAATACATCTGTGCTCAACTGTAGGAGTTTGAAAAAAGTAGTAGATTATATAAACAGTGTATCAGAGCAAAAAACAGCCAAAATTCGATACATTTGCTTTGTTGTGTATGTAGAAAATACATTTTGAGCAACTATGTTGCCTATATGTTACTAAGAGTATAACTTTCAAGTGCTATGTAGATCATATATTTTCAGCTGGACACATATAACATGGAATGATTATAAATGTATTGTTACGTAATTGACTTGAACAGTAGTCGACTTGTACACTCCCAGTCGTCAATCAGTATTGTAACATTGCTATACCTAAAATCATCCAACCAAACCCACTTATAACGTGCATTACTGTGCTTAAAGAAGAACTCTAGGCAAACAAAATCTTAACCCTTGCAGTGGGGCTAACCCCCACACTGTGATGGTTAAATACTCGTTTGTCTAGGGAGCTAAAATAACAGATAAATGCTCACCTGAACCATGATACTGGCTGGCTCCTAGACCCTCTTAACTCCAGTGGTATAAGGTCCAGTGAGTCATCATATCCAATACAGTGTATAGGACATGAGGAACATACCATTGGTGGCGTGTTCCAGTTGACTAAGGTCTTGTGAGTCATCATGTCCTATACATAGGAACATATTGTCACTGGAGCGAAAGAGAAGAGAGGCCGTAGGGACCGGTTTGCAGTTCGGGTGAGCATATCTCTATTATTTTTGCTCCCTAGACAAAACAAGGACTTAACCCTTGCAGTGCGGGGGTAGCCCCACTGCAAGGATTAAAGGAGAACTATGGGGTTAATGCTTTTACCCATAGTTCTCCTTAGGGTAACGGGAGATAAGTATATCCTACCACATGAGGTAGGAGCTGATGGGAAAGTGCATTAGAAGAACACTTATCCTTTAAAGTGGAATCCAAAAAGCAAAGGCCCACCTCTTCCAAATTGGCCACCTCTATTAGGAGACGCAGTGTCAAACAAGGTACGATAAGTCAGTAATTGTGGAAGATTAGCTGCAGGAAAACCACAGGCATTACTGATGGATAAACCTGTGCCATCTGCTGCCTATTTTGGGCAAAGTTTTCAGAGTTCAGTTCCTCTTTAACTTGCCTATTGATATAAGAGAAGGTTTTTCTGCTTGGACAACAGTCTTATGTTTGTACACTCTCCCTAATCTCAGCAAATATCCCTTGGCTTAACCTTGTATTTTCCCAGCCAAACAATGTTTTTTTCCCAAAGATAGGCCGACTTTGTGGAAGTCTGCTAAGTCCTCCCCTCCTCTTTCACATAGATAAAAAGAAAACAACCAAACTGTGCATGCTACCCATCATATGAAGTCTGTAGGAGACTTTAGACTCAGTATATTCAATAGTGATATTTATGCTATGGGTTGCCATAGTTGTTTAAAATTACTCCATCATTCTTAGGAACTCCAACGATATGAGATTCTGTCTCTGCCTCAGACAGGAGGCCTGAGAGGCCTAGACAAGGATCGCTCGCACATACATCCCCACCAAGAAAAGACTAGGAGGGAAGGATCCTTCTGGAAGGTTTCCCCAAACATCCATCCTCTTCCCCATGCCACATAACTGGCTATGCAGAAAAATATTAATAACCTATATCTTTTTATTTTTATCCACTGGAGGTCACTCCCCAGTACACCCAAAAGCAAACAATGTCCTGCTCTTATGGAAAACCCAACCAACCCAGACAACAATAACGGCACAGCTCAAGCTATCTACAGCCTAGCTGCAAAACTAAATTTAGACTAGGGGCATTTAAGCTTATGGCAGGGTCCCTAATTCTGTAATCCCCTTTTTTGGCATTCTAAAAAACAATCTTTTCCAATGACCCCTACCTTTGCAATATGGCTTTCTCTATCTCTCTGGGTTGACTGGCATGTCCTTCTTTCTATTCGGGCCCCCAAGGCCATCAGTCTTGTGCTGACCTCTTCAACCCCAGTGAACTAGCTGGGCTTATTATCGCCCTAACAAGATAAGACATTATAGCCACGCATATATACAAAGGATGGTGAGAGAGAGGCTGAAAGATACAGGTTGCCCACAATGTAACAGTACACTCAGAACCAACTACTAGAAGATTATGGGAAATTGTCTCCCTATTCTGCTAGTAATTTGGTTTTAGGTGTATGGACCAAGGGCGGGTGCCAGGGCCGTCCCTAGCCTTTTCAATGCCACAAGGTTGGTTTTGGTGCACGCTAACTGGGGGAGGAGGCGGGGGGAGGTGCATGATGCCAGCCAAAACATCCTGCTCAGCTCCTGGCAACCAGTGACATCAATGGTTGCCAGGAAGTGAGCAGGACGCCAGTCAGAGCATCCCAGTTTGCTAGGAGCTGGGCAGGAAGATGTGTATGGCCCTTATACATCTCCCTGCCTGGCTCTTAGCAGCAACCTGGGAATCTTTGGCTGGAAAGAGGGAGGCAGACGCACTGCAAACATTGTGCTGCAGCGTGGAAATGCCTCTTTGCCTGCGGCAACCAACCTGTGACCCAAAGAGATGCTGCCTGGTGGGTGCACCCTATACTATTCAACCAATAAAATCCAAAAACTGTGCAGGGACAGCTACAATGAGAACAGCAAATGTTGGTTAGCCTATGCTGATATTGCAGAAATCCAGGTCATTGTCTCCCTGTAATCTATATACATCAACTCATTTAGAAGTTTATGACTTGGCTCACTAAGCATTCCCTACACTGTACCTGGCTGTGCCAAGTTTTCAGCCTGATTACTTGTTAATTGGTAACTGAGCTGCATTCCCAGGCGTTCATATTTATGCTACATTTTTAATATTGCTGCTTTTTATCAAATATTGTCTTTTCCTGGGGTGGAAGATAAATGTTGACTTCATGATTTACTATTGCTAAGATGGCCTCTGTATAACTGCAAATATTTAAAGAGGAACTTTAGGAATGTAAAATATTAACCTTTGCAGTAGAGCTACCCCCACACTGCAAGGGTTAGCTGCTCACTTTTCTCTAGAGGCTGGAATACGAGAAATATACTTACCTGATCCTTGATCCACTTGGCTAGAAGGTGCTGAGGGACATTCTGCAGGCGGAGTGGAGGAGAGAGATGAGCGCTGACTGCCACAGGACTATCGATCAGGTGAGTATATCTTCTGAATGCTGGCCCCTAGAGAAAAACAAGCAGTTTCTCATGTAGGTTAGCACCGCTGCAAGGGTTAACTTTTTATATACCTGGAGTTGTTCTTTGAAGCATATGCCAAGGCAAAATAAAAAACCCCATACACAGTTCATCTCTGTGATATGTGTGCACATTTGCCCAGGTTTTATCCCTTTAACCCTTTCGCTGCCATGCCCTCCAGAACGCTTCTAACCTTAGCTGGCCACAACATTTTTTGCAATTTTTCCCATTGTTTTGATCTTCTACTACTGCTTTGCTAGCGTTTGTAAAAGACCCCCCAAACCATATATTTTCTGAAAGCACAGGCCTGGTAGAATCAAAAGATGATGCTACTAATTTTGTAGGTCCTGCGATAATTGCGCAGATGTTTGTCAAATCAATATTAAACCGATAAAAATACACAATAAAATTGATAAAAGCACACTAAAATCAGTATCAGTGCACAAAAAAAAATAATTCTGACTAAATCTAAAAGATAAAACTAGGGATGCACCGATACCGGTTTTCGGTATCCACTAAAAGTACAATTTTTTTTTGGGGTATCCGCTGATACCGAATACCGATACCAGAAGTCCCATTAAGGAAGCCAGGTGGCGTGTAAAAACTCGCCACCTGGCTTCCCGATTAGCAGGGAAGCCGTTTCCATGCTCCCTTGTCACCAGGTGATGAGGGAGCATGGAGCTGGCTTTCTGGTCAATCAGGAAGCCGCGGGGCAGGTAATGACGCACCGCCTGGCTTCCTGATTGGTCAGCTTCTCGACCAATCAGGAAGCTGGGCAGCGAGTCATTACAGGGCGCCCAGCTTCCTGATTGGCTAGGAAGCCAGCTCCATGCTCCCTCGTCACCATGAAGGAGTTAGCATGGAGCCAGCTTTCTGGTCATTCAGGAAGCCGAGGGGTGGGTAATGGCTGGCCATCCAGCTTCCTGGTTGGCCAGCTTACCGACCAATCAGGAAGCTAAGTGGCGAGTCATTACATGCTGCCTGGCTTCCGGAGTGGCCGGGGAGCCAGCTCCATGCTCCCTCGTCACCATGTAGGAAGGAGCATGGAGCTGGCTTTCTGGTTCCTGATACTGGAAGCTCGGGTATTGGGCTAGACATTGCAGCATTTGGCAGAGTATGGGTACTTGCCCAAATACTTGGTATCAGCATCGATACTGATACTAGTATCAGTGCATCCCTAGATAAAACTGTATTGAGATAATAAATAACAACAGGGGGTAGCTGTGGGTATAGCGTTCTGTTTGGGCTTTTTTTTTGTCTCCGTATCTTTATAGGTTGAACTCGATGGACTTGTGTCTTTTTTCAACCTGACTAACTATGTAACTAGTAACAAATATTTGTAAATTTTAATTTGCGCCTTTTTGTGAAACCGAAAAAAAATCAAGGAAAGTAAATGTAAAGAAGCAACGTATGTTAAAAATCGTTTGTGTGCTGTGTTGGTGTGTGTGTTGTGATAAAATGATACAAACATACATTTAATTGCAACACAGCGTATCACAACACATGGCAATGCGTCACTGTGCTTTGCCATGCACTGCCACACAGTTAAATTAATGTTTCTTTCAAAAGAAAAATAATCAAGCACTGTGATGCATTCTAACAACGCACCG